TTATATTAAGTGAAATGAGTCAGGCACAGAAAGAGAAATACCACATGTTCTCACTTATTGGTGGGAGCTAAAAATTAATAAATACATTCACACACACACACACACACACAATAAAAAAAAAAACGGGGGGGGGGAGATGATATAACAACTACAATTACTTGAAGTTGATACGACAAGCAAACAGAAAGGACATTGTTGGGTGGGAGGGAGGAGAGGGAGGAGGGAGGGTGGTTTTGGTAAGGGGCCACCAAAATCAACCACAATGTATATCGACAAAATAAAATTAAAAAACATAAAAAATAAATAAATAAATAAATATATATATATATAAGTAAATAGATATTGGAGGATCACAATTTTTAAATATCCCAATTATTTTGATATAAAAGTTCCATTATTTCAAAGTTCTTTAAAATAATACCTAATGTTCCTGTGTACTATGTTCCAAATTCATCTAAATACAAGATGGAAATTTTGTGAAGCACATTCCTTCAAAAAAAGAAAACCCCAAAACACACCACTGACATTTTACCTGTTCATATTTAATAGTTTTCTGAAGAACTTACATACATATATATTAATATAGGTATGCCAGCAAGGAAATATATAAGCTACAAATATGTAGCAAGGAAATACATAAGGTATAAATATGCAGTAGATATAAATATGTAATATCATTCTATCCTAGAAGGGGAACTATGCTTAATCAGCTACCAGCTATAACATAATTAGGCCATTTCTCTTGAAATGTGCTCCAAAGTCTAGATGGTAAATTTTCCACGTTTCTTGCTTGTGGAGATTATCCAATTCATTTCTTGGTAGATAAAGCCTAGGAAGAATAATAAAATAAAATCATTACATTTTATTTCAGGGCTAACAGAAAAGCTATGCATAGGGCGCCCTTGTTAAAGCTTTAATGAAAAAGACTTGGTCACCACTATCAGTGCCTCAGCCCCTTTTCTGTGTCCTACCTGACTCCTTCCACCTCCCTGGTGAGACGCAAAACACCTTAATCTTCAGTAACAAACACATCAGGAACAACTGATTCTTTTACCATTGCCTTTTATGGAGTTAATGACATCCAGATTTAATAAAATATCTAAATGTCTGTATGTGACAGAAATCAGCCAGAGACCAGATGTGTATTAAAACCCAGTAATAAAATACTGTGTCTCTTTAAATGAAGGTGGCATTTTTGGCTAAACAACAATCTCATAACTAATAAACAGCTTTACCAAGTAGTATGTAAATTTGAATATTAGAGAAATCTTTAGAAAGATGAAAAATTGAGAGTGATCCAACTTGTTTTTCCAATATGAACATGTAGTTTTAAAGGAAAAAAGTGTATCCTTTAGCAAGAATCTCTTTTGATGAGTAGCACCAAATGAAATCCCACCCAACTCTCTCTATTTGGGGGACTCCGCTCATGTTATGAGTCAAATTTATTGTTTGTATACATCCAGGAAAAAAATTGGTAAAAATTTTCTATCAAATCCAAAGTTCACTCTATCAAAATCCATTCAATGTGTGTGCATTCCAAGTGTGCGGACAAGATGTCCAATGAGCTGCTGCTGCCAGTGCAGATGTGAAGAAGAGACTGGGATTGGACTTAACAACAGCTCTCAATTCAGGGCACGTTCAGTCATAACCACTTCTTCAACTCTCACCTTGGTGATTTTTAAAATATTTTTCCTTTTGTATCGTATGGTATGATACCAAAAATCTCAACTTTTCACTACCACATAACAAATACTCCTTAAAGTGGAGAGAACGTCTAGACTCAGGAATGAGTTTCCAGATATGGTAGAAGTTTCTTTGGAATAATAATCTCCAAACTATTAATAATTAATAAATAACTAAATAATTATTTTTACTTAATTACTTAAATAATAATTGTTTAAAAGTTTTTCCAATTCAATTAGGAAATCATGTTTAAATGGGAGACTATTAATGACTTTTTAGCTGTCTTCATTAATACTTATCGTGTCTTATAACTTTTGCCCTAGATAGAAGTGTGTCAATCAGCTTTCAAACCAGCCAAAGCCTCCCTAGATCACGCCCTACTTTAGCATAGAATTTGGTGGTGGTCGTTCATTAATAAATCCACACTCACTGAAGACCTGCCATATTCAAGGTACTGAGCAGACTCATGTTAAACTTCCATGGGAGGAATTTGTTACCACACTCAAGATATAATACTTTTTAACTTATAACACAGTCCTATGGCTTGGGCCTTGAGGATAACGGAACAGTGGGTCTCAAGAAGAGCTGTATTTTTTTAAATAACCAGTAAGGCAATGGAGAATGGTAACTGGAGGATTTCTTGGTTTCTATAAATTGAGACTATGACAATCGGCAAAAGACTTACACCTTACCCTCAGACTTGAAGATTAAGCTGCTTCTATTGGATTATAGTATATCCATACCTGTTCTCTTCTATAAAAGATGTATGAAACCAGAAGAAAAGTGGACAGTTGTCATAGAGTTAGGAAGATCCTAAAAAGACGTGGTTTATAAAAAAAGAAAAAATGGTTATTGTCAGGTATCTGCCTTATGCAACCACCTCACGGTGACCACCTCCCTATGGACATCAAACTGACCCCCATACCACAGATATGCTGCAGTGACCACCTCTCAGCCACAGCATGACTGTGGAATCATGCCTGTTTGGATAAGCCCACCAATCAGACCTCCCCATGGGGAACCTGGACCCCAACAAAGGCTTTGACCCTCAGGCCTCTATAGCTCCCCACTCACTAGTTGAGGGCATGTGTCCTGGACGGCTCCCCACTTCTCGTTGGCTCTGTGAGGCATGCTGCCCTTCTTTCTCTGAGATCTTATGTAATAGAAAACTGTGTCTATTATTTGATGTGTTTTGCTGTGCTGCCTTCTCTGTGTCTCACCTGACCCAAACACCAGAACCTAACTCTCCTCCTGGTCAGAACTCTCCTAGAGACTGGCTATCTTGGTAGAAATAAACTGGACACAGGTCAGACAAAAGTCACAAGGGTGTCTACGAATATAAACAAGCTTCCTGAGAGAAGGACACGGGGTCAGAGGTTAGGCATTCGGCCGTCTGCCAGGATAAAGAAGTATCCCGTGAAAGGCACACAGTAAATTTCCATGACCACCTGCCCTGGAGCCCTGTCAGAGCAGGGCCACTCTCCAGAGAAGGACCTCAAGAGCAAATTAGAGGAAAATATAACACATTCCTATTTCTACAAGGAGCAGCTATATTGAATTATTGAAGATGATAGAAATACCTAAAAATTTTTTAAAGTCCTTTCATCTCATAGACCTGGATAATCACAAAGGCTGGATATTACTAAGGTCCGCTGGGCCAGAGACCTTTCCACCATTGCTTCTGCTTAGCGACCACTGAGCAAGAATTCAGAGTGGCTCCAGTATTCAAGGGGCAACATTCGATATGGGAACTACCCAGGTCACTTGCTTTAATACATTTACCATTTCAATATTTAGTAGCTTCTCCTCCAACAGAAAGCAAGCAGGGGATGAAGAAGGTTACAGGAAATAAATTTTAAATTGACCAACACAGTTACTTGTTGGCAGCTCTAGTCGATGATTTAATAGGAAAATGAATCGAAACTACTGGGGCTTAGAAATTTGTTATATACAGAATAATACTCAGACATATATTTTATGAATGGTCAATATAAATTATACACTCATTCAAGCAATGACAAAGGAAGACATTTTCATTTTTCATAAAGTAAATACTGGATTAATAAATACTGTTTATAACATGATATCAATTCAGGGGAAAGTAAAATCTCCCTCATTTTAAAGTATTTTATAAATTATGGGGAGCAATGTGTTTTAAAGATACAAAACAAAAATGGAATCATTGCTACACAGTAAATCATACCTTTGTCTTTCTAGTATTTGGGGGATTTTTTTGTATTTGAAAATTAATACATGTAAATTGTACAGAATTTAGAAAAAACAATGAGCAAAAACTTTTAAAACTGCATATGTTCTTCTTTTAAAAAAATTAGTTGCAGATTTGACTTTTCTCCCCTTCCCTGGTTAGGGGTTGACATCTGTCTTCTCCCTTGTTGGGAGTTGCAGCAAAGGAAATTCCAAACCAAAATCATTCAAAAGACCAGACAAGAACAATAGCAGAGGATGTTTAATGATTACTCATGGAAGAGAGAAATTTCACTTCCACATCATCCTGCAGCTCTGGAGAGTTGAATGCATGAATTGTTACTCTGTCCGTTTCAATGTCATGAGATATCTGTGAATGAACACATGGAATTCAGAACTACACACCTACATAACTGATGATGAGATCAGTGTAACAATAAAGTTCATTTTCACTTGTCTAGGCTTCCTACATTTATCAAGTGCTCTTGGTCTCAGCCCAATCACTACATGTATAAATAAATGTTAACCATCTTTTCTGTAAAGTTGCAATACTATTGCTTAAATTTTTAAAAGGACAACAAGTTTGACCTTTATGGTGGGGCACTGTTGAAAAGCAAAGTATTCAATTTCCTACTGGAGTTTAACCAAGGAAATATTACTGTTTAATGTGTCATCTGATTTTCACAGATTGGGGACTCTTCTGAGAACAGTAAGAAGCTCAATTTTAAAGCCAGCATTGACACTGATAAAACTGATCACGTTTTATCAAAAATCTTTGTGGATCGGATCATAGGCTTTGTCCACTGCAGGCTGCTGGATGGAATAACCAAAATTGGTCGTTTCTGGAATGAACAACGTTGAAACTATACTAAGTAATTGTGACTGATTCACCCTCATATAATGATGGCACCCACATGAGAAAAGACTATACTAGGCCCTGTGGAAAATACCAAAGAAGGTACAGACTCAGTCAGTCCCTTCGAGGAGCTGTACACATAAGAACAGTGGTAGAATGGTATATAATTGTCAAGCTGCATGATGAAGACTGAGTTGCTTTTATGCACTGTGGGGGAAAGGATTAACAGGGTATAGAACGAGGAGGTAGAAACTGAGTTGTGCATGGAAGGATTTCGATAAACGAAGAAGAGCACTGAAAACAGAATCTAGTCCAGACAGGGGGGAAAGACCAGCAAACACATGAAACAGAAATTAGAGGATTGTGTTCCAAGAGCCAGAGAGGATAACCTGGTCTACTTGGAATGGAGTCTTCAGGCTGAGTTACTGATGGAAACAAGCTCGTGTATGAGGGTATGATAGGGCTATTATATATTGAAAGCTCAAGAGCCAGGGAATTAAGGATGAAATTGCTGGAGAATATGGTAAGGCATTTCCTGTGTGACAAAGTGGCCGGATAATTATCACATACAAGTATAAAATTTATTTTGTGTTTCACAAAGCAACCTCATATATATTATCTAATTTAATTCTCACAACACTTGAGATGTGATCTTTATTTTACAGATGACAATGCTGAGCCAAAGGTGTTAACTGGCTTTGACCATAAACACACAGTGTGTTTTTTGCTGTACCTACAGCTTCTCAGAATGAGAGCAATATTTCAGGATGCATATTTCAGGGCTCTACACACTGCATTGTATAAGGAGAAAGAAAAGGTAAGGAAACCATTGCAGAAATCTAGACATGAGAAAACGAGGTCCCAGACTAGGTAGTGGCAGTGAGAACAGAAAGGAAGGAAGAGTGAAGAGAAATGTCAAAGGCATAGTCAACAGAACTGGTGACCCTTGGATTTAGGGGCCACCGCAGAGAGAGGATCAAAGGTAATACCAGACTTTAAGGTCTGAGTGGGAGAATACTTGTGCCAATTGCAGGAGCAGAAGAAAAGCTCATCTGATAAATGTGGATTGACTAATGTGTTTGAATTGTTGGGTGGAGACTGTTTACAGCGTAGCTCTTGCACCTACCATACAGTGGGTGTGCTCCTAAGTATCTGTTCAGCAAATGAAGGAACGAATGATGGTTTAAAGAAGGGGAATGGGTGAGCATGGGTGAGCATGGGTGAGCGTGACCAAGAAGAGAATATCTGTGGAGACAGGAACAGAAAGCCAAGGATGGGCCTGGGTGAATGCCTCAGTTATGAGAGGCAAAAAAGGGGGGAAGGGAGGAAATAGTGTTGCTGGTAGGAGAACTTCAGACAAAAGCCTGGGAGGGGGCCGGCCCAGTGGCGCACTCCTACAGTGCGCCGCTTGGGAAGCGCAGGGGCGCTCCCGCTGAGGGTTCGGATCCCACATACAGACCGGCCGCTCACTGGCTGAGCGAGGGGCGGGAGCAACGCCAAGGGTTGTGATCCCGTTGCTGGTCCCGGTCCGGCATGGGCGCGACACTGAGGGTTGCGATCCGTGGCCGGTCACAAAAAAAGACAAAAAGGAAAAAAAAAAAAAAGCCTGGCAGGGAATTCTAGAAGATTATGGTTCTTAGACCCATGAAGGAAGCTTTCTTATTGTTTCAGAAAAAAGTCTGTAGTCTTAGACACTTCTCCAACATTTAAGCAAAACATACACTACCAGAGAGATTCCTCCCCAATCCATACGCTCTTGCATTGTTTCTCATAGCACCGTCCCACAGAACCTCTGAGTTAGAGTCACCTGGGACACTGCTAGGTCTATAGATACCTGGGCCTATTCCAGATTTCCTGAATCATACTTCAGGGGTACAACTTAAGAACGTACATCTTTGTTTTGTATTTTGTTTGGGGTTTTTTTGGTGCCAAAACAGAGAACTGAACTAGAACGTGTATCTTTACAAGCTCCTAGGAGATTTTCATGTTCAGTAAAATTTTAGAATTGGTGCTATATGATAAAAGATAAAATGACCAAGAAGAAGAGAAAATGGCTAAACATGACCAGATATGTGAATTTAAAGTCCTGATAGATTTCTGAGAACATGCTTGGCATTTGTGGGAAAGTGAAAGGCAAAGCAACGTTCTGAACTGAAGTATATTATGGAAAATGCCCTGAAAAAACTATTTTTGAACAATGAGGTTAATGTAGCTCTGGTTTGCATACAAACCAAGTAACACCAAGTTAGGTGGTAACCAGAAAGCAAGTTGGCATCTCTTTACGGTGAGTGATGGTTTGGGGAGATCAACGTGCTGATTTGACATTGAGCTTTAAAACAAACACTAGAATTTTCAGTTCATATGCTTTCTCTTACTGTATAGTTTTTAAAAGAATAGGAAAAGACAGTCTTTTGCTGCATTATTATTTGTATTTTTAGATCATGTCCACTGCCTTTTCCATCACCTGAATTAAATTAAAAAGTTAGGCCGGTTAGAGAAAAGATCAAAGTATCTTTGCCAATTAACATTAAGGATTAAAAAAAGAAAAACTGATCCCAGTTAACAATGTGTCAATTTTTAATCATTTGGTCTTGCATGGATTTTTCCTTCAAAGACAAGACTTCATGCCCAATTCTGACTCCTAAGGCATATTTTGTGAAATTGGAGAGAAAAAAAAGAAAAGACATACAGCTCAGCTTCTAAGACTTAGAATCCTATCACTTCACCTTTCTAGAAAAAAATATTTAGGGAAGTCGATTTGCAACTCTTCTTGCTAATGTGCTGCTTTCTTCAGACTTCTAATCATAATGTTTCTTAATAAATACTGTAGTTGAAATTCCTCTAGCCCTACTGTGAGTACAGTTCATAATGCAATCTCTGTGAAAATATAGGAAAGCTGTATCCAAATAGTCCTTTGATGTTCACTATAAATAGG